ATCATATCTTAGTCTCAGAAATAGGAATTTTTTAGCTAAGCTAATCAGTAATAGTGTCACAGCTCACTGTCAAAATTTGAGTCTTCAAATCCATGTGTGTTCAGAATTATCTACGTTTAAAAGTTAAAATGACGACTCGTCTTTTCTTGAGACTCTGTGATATATAGAAAAGACATCAATAGAAATAGGAAAAGAAATTCCTAGTTTGAGATATTTTTAAAGGAATTTGTGATTTTGGTACATTTCTAGTATTTCTGAAGACTATTTACATATATTCAAGACCCAAATCAACCAAGCCAAGGACCATGTATAGTGTATCGTTGTATTTTTAAAGGAATTATGTGATTTTCGTACATTTTTAGTATTTCTGAAGACTATTAACATATATTCAAGACTCAAATCAAACCCTTTTAAGACCTATTATTGGTTCTCAACCAATTTAAATAAAAAGTCTATTTCATTTCATTAGCCCAATCAGGTACAGTACGAAAAGATACTCCATTTTATAATTGCAGGAACGAGAACAGTTAGAAAGAGATGAAGCGCTAGAAGCGTCGAAGAAACCGTCTAAAAGTGGAAGAGGAAAAACTAAAACAATGGCTATTGAAACTAAACCTTCACCACATGGTATTCGTGTTGTACCACGTGTTGATTCAGCCATTAAAACCAAAGCGGCCAAAGCTGATCAAGCCAAAAAACGAAAGGTTAGATTGTAATTTTTGATATTTTGAAAAAATTTTGTATGATTTTGTCATTTTTGATACGCACTATCAAAGCGCGTCTTTGTTTTCTGTCTTTTCTGTTGTGTTTTTATCTATTTAACAGAAAATCGTTTTTGCGTTTGACCTTCCCCCCTTCTTCATTCCATTCTACCTAAACCACTATCTGATTGGTCAGATTTAAATAGCACTAATTTCATTTCCACACCCCCAAAACGAAATGTAGTGGGCTTAGTTTAATATATGGGTTAATAAGACCATGTTGAAACCTGTATTCGGGATACGATGGTTAGAGATGGTCATATCTTGTAAAGGGTGCAAATAACCATTACCTTCTTGATATTAGTAATAGCTATCAACCACAGAAGTGCTGGTGGAGGTATCAGAATTTTTCTAACCTTGAGGAGGATTCGAACCAACATTACTTAAAACATAAAACTCTATGATTTCTTTTCATTTGTTTTCCCTAATTACCCACTGCATGGCATTGTTCGTAAGATGTAAAACTCCATTCATTTCTCTGTCTATTTCACAGGAAAAGAAAGAATTAAATTTTGATATAGATGACGATATCAAGAAGGAACCGGAAGAGGCAGAAGAAAAAGAAAAGAAAAGTTTAGCAGAAAGATTAAACATTAATAAGAAAAAAATATTCAAAAAAGAGAAAGATCCAAATAGTATGTATCTGCTTGTGATATGAAGGTCACGATATGATATGTATCACGATACAAGGGTTACAATACGTATTGTGATGCAATGGTCACGATACAAGGGTTACAATATGTATTGTGATACAATGGTCATGATACAAGGGTTACAATATGTATTGTGATACAATGGTCATGATACAAGGGTTACAATATGTATTGTGATACAATGGTCATGATACAAGGGTTACAATATGTATTGTGATACAATGGTCATGATACAAGGGTTACAATATGTATTGTGATACAATGGTCATG